CTGCAAAGGTATTTTTAATAAAACTATCTATCTATCTATCTTCTACGACAATAATGGCAAATTTCAACATGTTCTCTTCATCTAAAATGTAAAGTACCTTATTTATGGTATTATTAATAGTATAAACTAGCAAAAACTAAAAAAAATCGCCTATCCTCGGATCTCATCGTACCCGCACTTTAACCCGTGGAACAAAGTGTAATAGGAAAGGAGAGACAAAGTGTATGAGGGTGTAAATACTCTGCCCACCACACAAAATTTCAAATTCATATTTATTAAGGAAACAACTGCAAAATTACAATTTCTGCAATTTATTCCTAAGTTACTACACTGCAATTTTCTACGAACGTTGATAGAATTTCCTGGCATTTAGAGAGTTTATCTGTTCAAAAGCATATACCAATATACAATAGCGAGCATTGAATTTTGAGCAATAAATCCAGGAGTAGAACGTGCAATAGACTTAGCTTGACCAAAGTACCCATCATTTCAATGAGATTCGGGTCATACGCATAGGCCGGTAATTTAACAAGTGTGATGTTTCAGAATTGCACAGAGTCTTTCCTCGTTGTGGACGCTAGCGTTGTCGGCAACTAGAAATACATTTCTTGGTAGTTGAATGGCAATATTTGGTGTTCAAAAGATGCAATTATGATATCTGCTGTGCAATTCGCAGCAATATGAATCACTTGTAGTCTACAACTCCTTCAATACAGAGGTAGGGTTGTCGTACGTATTCCATATATGGTATTAACTAACAAGCGTATAGAGGCCCCTAACAAGCGAATAGAAGCACCTAACAAGCGAATAGCGGCCCCTAAGGAATCCCAATTTACCGGTGCTATTAGCAATGCAAAATACTTTAAATGTCACAAACAATTCGTTGTTTGCCAGCGTAATCTCTCGTGGTCAAGTTAGTTAAGGCGCTTTACATGTAGTCGAAGGGTTAGGTTTAGGGAAAAGGACGGGTCAGGCTATAAAATGTTAAATTCATAATTCTAAGTTAAAATTTGATAAGAAAATTTTTAATAAGTTAAGTAGCTAAAAAGCTCGAATAAGTCGATAAAAAACTGTAGAAAAATATACAAGTGAAAAAAAGGATGGACCCCTGTTCGCTTGTTAGGTGCTTCTATTCGCTTGTTAGGTGCTTCTGTTCGCTTGTTAGTTTGTGCCATATATGGAATACGTACTACAAATCCGCCTCTCAATACATGGGTATTGTGTTCTTTCTCTCCGAATTGAGTCTCATGGATAAAATAACAATAGGAAGAAATTCATATGCAAAATTTATGTTAATCGCGGACAAAAGAACACAGAAAGTGTAATAAAGTGTAGTATAGAATAAAACGCGAAGGTGTCTTCCAAGGGCTAATGAGAACGACTCCAAACCGTGCAACTGTACAAAATCCGAATAGCACTAATTTGTACTAAAAGTGGACCTGAAGCAAGACGGTATTGAATGCTTCATTTGTATCAATTCAATGTAATTTGCGTACCGCATTCACGATGTACTAAATACAAATAAATAGAACTATTTAGTTTGTACAGTTGCATGGTTTAAATGAGATCACTCTAGTCAAGTTTTGTTTCACACTCAGGATTTAGAGTGCACGTCACATAAGCATGAAACAATTCTTAATATGTATTGCTAAATAAGATTTAGTTATCAACTAACTAAGAATTCAACAAAGCATAAACACAATGCCAATTATTTAAATTCCTTTGTACCATTGTTCTCAATTCTTAGTTAGTTGATAACTAAATCTTATTTAGCACTACATAGTTAAGAATTGTTTCATGCTTATGTGACTTGCACTCTANTGACACGTTCCGACCTGATCTGCTTTTGCTTATACACTCCAAATGTCTGTATGTCCTAGAACTAACAGTTGGTTTTGAGTCTAACCTTTGCAAAAACGCAATACGGAAAAAGGAAAAATACAAGGTCTTGATTAACGAGCTGAGCAGCAATTATACGCGAGTTAAATTTATTAACCTATCTATGAGTTCTCTGGGCATTTTTTCAAATGAATGCTCCACCTTTCTGGAAATGTTAAATGACATTGGGATGGACAAAACACAACGTCGCTATATTATAAGGAAAATGATCAATCTTGCTATTAGAACAACCTACTATATTTTTTGTTGTAGAAATAAGACATGGGATAGCCCTGAATTATTGAAATACTAACATTTTTTTTAAATGTTTGTTTGTTTTAGTTTGATTTCAGTATTTGTAAATTCATTTATATACATATATCATATATATTTTTTTTTTATCAATTCAAGTAGCCAGTTGTAAATTGCCTATACGTAGTGAGATTTTCAACTGTATGAATCTATAAACAAATAAAGTTTCCATTATTACATAGTTTTGAGGCTAACACAGTATAAGAGATCGCGCTAAAATTATTTTTTTTCATGGAGATCAATTGATTTGATACATACTACATCATATACTAAATTGATTGATTTAACTTTTTTTTAAACTTTGTTCAACAACTAGGAGAAGCAATAAGGAAAGTTCAATCAATTTACAGTTCCTGTGCCCGTGATCGCGTGTTCAAATTCGGTTGTGCATCTAACCGGTACACAAAGAAAATGAAGAAGTGCGATTGGTCCCAACACTGGATTAATGACTGGGACAAGCCCATTGTTTTCATGTGCCCAAACCATGGTTTTATGGCTGGGATTGAAAGTTACCATGACAGTTACTATGAAGACAGGTGAGCAAATTGAACAATGAGGAAAGTGGAAAAAATTCATTACATGAAATGCAATAGACCATAAACTAGACGCTCTTAGAGCGTGAACTCGGGCTAGCTATTTTGGGAATTTAAGAAAGACAGGATATTACTTGGGTGCACGTATCACAACGGCCATCTTGGATGAACTTCAACAAAAGATTTCTCATTAGTATTTATTGTTAATTCCTCCAACATGGACGCCGTCCTTTCATCTTTTGAATCTCATGGGAATGATTGAAAATGATCAATAGACGAACGTAACGAATGAAAATATATACAATATGAGCGGGCGATCTGTATGAGGATTTAAAACAGCGAGCTGATCGCGATTGATATTATCAAACGCGTTAGGCTAAATGTCACTAAGTGAAATCTAATACGCTTTTAATTCAAATTGACTTCTCAAGCCAAGAAAACAAATACTTTACAAAACAAAGGATGTCTATAAAATAATTAAAGTCGCCTTTTTTGTAATTGATAAACATAGATTCTTCTTGTTCTAATTTGAAATCTTTGCCCACACAAGACCGTCTAAAGCTAGAAAGGTCATTGATTCAGTTTCGTAAACTATTCGAATCTCCATGCGATCCGCACTTGCGCATGCTGCTGTTGCCTAGACTGATGTATTCCGATGAGATCACAGATACCACATTTGTAAATGAATAGCTTTTTTTATCTCATAAAAGCGCAAGCAGCATCAAACAGTTACTAACGATGTTCGTACATCTATAGCGTTTGAGCTTCCGGTCATATAATTACACAGCCAATCCAGTAGTTAATTATTAAATTCTTAACTTCCGGTGGTCCAAACGCGACATAATACATATAGTGCCAAATAAAAACAAAATTAATACCTGCAATTTGTTCGTTGCAGGAATTCTTATTAGATCCTAAAGCAAGTGCTCGGATTTCATTTAGTAAAATTGCTAAGATTCTAGTGGAAATTTCGCCTTGCAAGAACAAACGCACATGCTTTAAAATAACTTAATAAGTCCCCAACAATTATATTAAAAATGGAATACATTAATTTAAAATATCATCAGAGTTATTAAATTATGTCTTTAAAGTAAAATTATAAAGGCCTCAGTTGTCTTTAGGTCTTAGCTACAACTGGCATGTAGTTTTTTAATATAATAAGTGGCTATTTGTCATATAATTATCTATGAAATACTTATATTTCTCCATTGCGTAAAGCTGATATTTTCACTAGTGAAAATAGCACATTCGAGGTTTCTCTATATAGTGCATGGAAGTATGAAAAAAAGCTATTTTACGACATAATTTGCTTTCATATGTAATTATATGACAAATAGAATATTACATGGTCGCTTGGAGATACGAATTTTATCTTAATTCTCGTGTTGACAATCTCTCACTCGTTCGCTACGCTCACTTGTGAGACCTTTTCAACACTCGAAGATAAAATCCGCATCTCCGCGCGCTTATGTAATATACTATGTACCTACTAAGTATCAATCAATCTGTATAATTAGCAGAAAGTTTTATTTTCTTCGCGCTTCAGGAGATTCAAGTTCTATTGTTGTCACAGTTACTGGCACCATGTCCATTTCTGTAAAACCAGTAGCTATGTGAACAATTGGAGGTCTGAAATTAATTTTTGGGTGCCACGGAATCGGTTCATCGTTGGGGCAACCAGTTTTCACAACGGCAACGATAAAGAGTAAGTACTGAAAATTAGAACATACAGCGTGAAAAACAATTTGAGTTTCTCAAAATCACAAGTTGCCCATCTATCTCTATTATACGCTACTAGTCCAAAACATAATGATTTTGTTGATTTACTTTAGTATCAGTGACTTAATTAGTGTCTTTTTAATTCACCGAATCGAAAAAAGTGTTGTTGGGTCAACATCATTTTAGGATGAAGAAAAATTCTTGCTCATTATGGAAACATCTCACGGCTTATACACCAAAACAAAAATATTCTGCCCACTCATATACGATATAAATTATCGATTATCGGGCAGGCGGGGTTGAAAAATTAGGGAAAACAGTGGAAAACAAGTCGCTCCCCTTCACATTTAAAGAACATTATGCCATGCCCCCGCTGGCTTATAACTGAAAGATTATATTACACCTCTTTCCATTTTCTTCAAAGTTAGAACACTATTCAACCATGGTCTAACTGAATGCAACTGAGTGTTTCGCTGGGGAACTTTTGCTGTATTTTTGATGACTGCCCAAACGTCGATCGTCCACTTATCGAAGTTTGACATCACTAATCAAACGAACACCGAATGAGGCTAGCGAGTCTGAAAGGGACCGAAAAGAGGCCCAAAAGACGCAGTAATAAACTTTTTTTATTTAAAACTGAGTGCTAGATTGATCTCTCTTATTCTCACAGGGACCGTCGTTGGAAGTTCATACATTGCAAAGTTTACTAGCAGCCTGTGAACCTCACTGCCATATGAAAGAAACTGAGAAAAAATGACAATCTTAACGGAAAAATCTTAATTTTAATGTTACCTCAAAGGCAATGATATTATTTTAAATAATGATGATGTAAATTAACGTAAGGGAATAAAAAAATAATGAATAAAAAGGTAAACAAGCTACAAGAAAGAGCTTTGAATATGTTTTCAACCTTCTTCAGCGGTATTTTCGGAAGCAAATACAGCGTATTTCATGATTGTGCAGAAACTACATCAAAACTCGTGTCTGTCAGTTAATGTCGCGCTTAAAATACCAGGCTAGAAGAAGCTTCCATCTTGGACAAAATAGTTGAGAAAAATAGGCATATTTTCATCAAAAACACGATTAGGAATCATTGTTTCAGTAAAACGTTGTCTTTATACTCCCCTTCCCCAATAACACTGTAGCATGCCCCCTTCTTTGTTGTGGGGAGGGAAAATAAAAAAACGGCTTTAAAAAAAACCGCTTTAGGAATAATTTAAGATAATATAAGCGACTATATTTCTGTAAAAAAAGGAGGAAAAAGAAACATTGTTATTTCAGGCTGGCTCGAACCCACGATTCGTACTTCGACACCGCGAGTTCATAATTGAAAGAATTGATCCTGGGTGGCCTGTGCTTCGAAATAGCTCAGCCTCGACCCGTAATGGCGTCGCAACTATGCAGTGAGACCATAGTCCATATCGCAACCCGCGGAAAGCCTTGTGACGCAGTGCATTTTGGGATTGATAAATGAGTAAACAAGTGAGCAACGATGTCAGTGCTCCAGTTGCCAGTAACGTAGACTCAGTTTTCGAAAAACATTGGGAAATATTGATATTGTAGTTAATCTCAGAAGCGAAAAAACAAACAAAATACCAACATGCGAGGAAATACAGCAAGAAAAATCTCCAAAAGATGTACAGTTAATCAAGAATTTCCATTTACGAATCAAGCAAAAATGAAAACAAACATATTTTGTATGTGGAAAAATCGAAACTAATTAGTGTTTTTAAGATTTTGGCGATTTGTTTTGATGAAGAAAGGGAGATATATATCCCATGAYACATTGCAAAACCATTCAAAATGGCGGGCTTGTGATATGGACTATGTTGTACACAGGGAACCCAAACTGCGCATAGATTAGAAACTGGACACGAGTAAAAAACTTTCTTTTTTCGGCACGCGAAAATTAATGAAGCACGCGGATGTTATGAGAACAAGAAAAAGTCGTAAAAGGAATGCAGCGAGTCATTCTGGCATTTTTGAGTGTTCTTGCCACATATCGATCCCCATGAGCTTTATTAAACTTTTATTTCACCGATAAATGCACAGCAATTTATCCTTTATTGATTTTATGATATTTAACAAGTAAATAAGGCTCAGCCGTGGTTTATACTCTGATAAACGCACGCTTGGCATTTGAAACACACCAGAAAATGTAAAGAAGCACGAGCTGAAAGCGGGTGCTTCTGGACATTTTCTCGTGTGTTTCAAATGCCAAGACAAGCGTGCGTTTATCAGAGTATATCAGAGTATAAACCACAGGCTGAGCCTTATTTACTTGTTTTATTATATAGAGTTTTAGCAAAAATCTTTTTTAAGCACAATCGTGTGGTTTATACTCTCATAAAGCACACTTTTTGGGCCAATCAGAGCGCGCGTTAGAATTCAGCTATATAATAAAGAAAGTTAGTTATGCTCGCGACGTATTTTTTGAGTTTTACTTGGTATAATTAATTTGAATTTTAGCAAATGTATGTTTGTTTCTGCCATTGTTGACCTGGTCAAAGGGCAGCGCTCTTTTGCGTACAGATCTGTCAAGATCTGGTGAACTCTTTAGACTGTTCTCTAATCTAAAGACGTCTTCATCTGTTGCTGTATTCAAGCGGAAACTGAGGGATAGTCTCCTTAACAGTGATGCGACAATTTGATAATGTAGTTAAAGAATTTTGAATTTATTGATCTATATGTAATTATTATCATTAGTAGTAGTTGTAGTTTTTAGATTATTATTATCGTAAATGATTTCTTAAAAGCCTTTGTGAGGAGATGCTATTAAACTTTATATATATCATATATATTTTCCGTACAATGATTCAATGAGAACCGTTTACAAAAATCTTACTAGCTTGGTTTACAATTCATTTCAATAGTACACCACATATAAAACTTTTTTCGTCGGTTGTCCAACCGGTTTTATTATATGCCTGCGAAGTTTGGGGTCCTAGTCTTTTAGGTAAAAGTGAAAAGTCTCATTCATTCAGTGTCATTCATTCACTTTAGTCAGTTTTTCACTTTTCAACCTTTCGGTCTTAATAAGCGCTTGGAATCAAATTCTGTTAACCATTAATAGGGTAAATTATTCTTAAATGAAGTTAGGTTCCCATAATTTCTGATTTAATTGATTATCATAGAAATTTATATATATCAGCGATGATTATCTCATAATTTTGTTTACACAGGAAAACCACAGTATTAATGCATCTTGACAGATATTTCCGCTTATTCTATTAACACGCTTGAATCCGAAACGTTCAAACTGATCATATCCTATTATTACACCCGATTTCAAATGAGTGCGAACTCTCGAATTTTTTTGCGGACGCTAAACTTTCGCTCGACCGTCATTCACTCGACCACTTGGTAACCTGGCACAGCTTGAAGCGGGTAAAATTATCCAAGTATAAAAACCACGGTTAATGTATGTCTGTGGGCTAAATTCCTACGGTTTGTGATCGCACTACAAAACGAACTTATTGTAAAAACTAGTTTCGGTTCACTTAACTTTATCTGCTCACAATTACAACGAAACAGTTGAAAAATAAATAGCGTGACAAACGCTGACAAGCGCGCGCACTTTAAATCGCTTTTAGTGTTTGTAGGCTGTTCTTTGTTGATTTTACTAGTTTACTGATTAAAATGAAGAGGTTATCGGACGATATTATTACGGTTCAAGCATTAAGGAAACTTGTAGAGCGTTATTTGTAGGGAAAACTTTTGTTTGTAAAATTCGACAACTTTATAAACTTACAGGAAATGTTGCTGTACATACACATGTAAGTGTCATTGTAAACTTGTATTCAATCAATCAGGGTTTTTACAGTAATACGAATAAGAATATATTTACTTCTTCGAAAGAAGGTTACATTTAAACATAAGCTACTTCGTTTTCAACCTTTAATTTAAACAACAATGTTGCAATTATGTTTTCGCTTGCTTGATAATTTTTTTATTGTAAACTTAAATTGTTTACATAACGAAAGAAAAGAAAAATGTGTATTTTAGTTTAACATAAGAATATCTTTTCAAGATGCAGAAAACAACACCCTCAAGTTCATGGTTCTTGCAAAGCTATACCTAATTGTGCAAAGTATTATTTGCATGCATTTGATGTTTACAAGTTAATAAAGCCAAATTTAAACTACAAATCAGATAGAAAATTATATTTTTTAATCAAGTTTAGTTGATATTCTTCTAATTGTTCTAAATTGCATGGAGTGAAGTAGAATGTTCTNCAAGTTGTGTATTATTTGGTCCAGGATTCTTTTCTATATCATTGTGTAGTTTACACTTACAATAGTTCATTACATGTGAGTGTGTCTTATAAAGAGACATCGGTCTGTTACAAGAAAGAAAAGACATATAGCGACTAGCTTCATATTTCAACTTTCGTCCTCGAGATCTATATGTTCGTGTATCAATCCTCTTTAATTTTGAGACAAAGTACTTTCTTCTAAGCCTTCCGAAGTTGATATAGTGATGTAACTTAGAAGATCTGGGAATATTGCGACAGATTCGATGATAAACAACCCATCTTAGCTTTCTACTTTTGTTATGTAAGCGTCTTAGAAATCGTTTTGGTATCCTACTGGGCTCACGACTACGACTACAACGTTCATGTCGATAATTATAATAAACAAACTTTGAATAACGAGATCTTGTAGTACTTGTAATGTTTATTGTAATTTCTGCATCATTGTATACACCATAAACAGTCATACAAATAGTTTTATCTAAGATATCACAATCACTAAACGATGAAGTGACAATAGTTTGAGTGTAGTTGTCGAAGAATTGCACTGCATTGAACCCTAATAGAGTTAATATTAACACTATCAAAAGGGTAAAGCAAAAAATATTTCCTTGAATGAAAAATAATAACAGAACCAATGTACTTAGCATTATGGAAGAATTGATAATCTTTGTCAAGCTGTCCTCACTTTGATAGTCACACGGCAGGCTATAAACACAGAGTCTTTTATCCTCTCTGCTAAATAAAATAGTTCCAATCGTCGATTTTTCCTCAGTAGAACTCTGTTCGCATTCCTTAGAGAAGTCCTTTGTAGTTTCAGAGCCTGTAGAATCAGTTAGTATAGAGTTCGCTTTTGATAAGATTGGTAGCTTGTTTGATAGATATTTCACGATAAGTTTCACGATAAATTCGCGGTATCTCTCAAAATGCCCTTTCGAAAAACGCTCGACATCTTTTAGTGTGGCTATACCGCGAATGGTGTGTGGATTTGTAAGAGATTTGAGCGTGTTTGAAGTTGAATCCATGTCTTCCATCTCGTATCAAAGACGACACCTCGACGACACCATGTAAAAGATAGCACATGGAAGTTGTGAATGTCACGTGATAGCTTTAATATTCGTACCCAGTGCATTCTAGTTTGGCCGAGACAATTTGTGTACGACGAATACCATGAAAAAGAAAGTCGAAACCTAAACTCAGGGTTCCTCTGGAACCCCGAGTAATAAAGCCAAATTTAAACTACAAATCAGATAGAAAATTATATTTTTTAATCAAGTTTAGTTGATATTCTTCTAATTGTTCTAAATTGCATGGAGTGAAGTAGAATGTTCTGGGAAACACAAGGACCACAGATATCTCGAACAAAGACCACCGCTTCTTCCTCCATAWTTCTAAATGCGAAAGTCCCGCTACAGAAAGTCACGCATCACTTACTAAACACGTGTGCCTGGTTACCAAGTGGTCGAGTGAATGACGGTCGAGTGAAAGTTTAGCGTTCAAAAACAAAATTCGAGAGTTCGCACTCATTTGAAATCGGGTGTAAACGATTAAATGTCACAACAGACGAAAAGCAAATTGAAATTGTTGCGCAGTACTTTGTTTTTTTTGGAATCTCAGACGGAAATGATTTCAAAGCAACATTTTCT